AAAAAAAATAGAGAATTGAGCAGAAGATTTATCGTTAGGACATCCGGTTTAATGATATCTTATCTATATTTCTATTTTTCAATCAAATATTGATTATACATATTGACCGCAACTTCGCGATATTAATTATGATATTATGACGAATAATTATGATAATCGCATCGCTTCTTTGTGATTTATAGTAGAGTTCTTAGAAATGTTCTGTTTGTTGAATATTAGTTTTATAAAAAGTTAAGTAATTTTTTTTACCCTAAGCTTCGAATGTGGAGAACTTAACGGCTAGGCTCGCAATTTTAATCGCGGAGGAAACGATTCTGTGTCGCGATGAAACATCGCGAAGGGATGCGCGTGATATTCGTTCATTAGTGAGTCAGGATGTCGTGTCGTTTTCTAGAATAGTGTTAAACCCTGAAACGCCTTCTTCACAATTACGTTGTTAAACTTCTCTCTTTTCAGGATCGGCGATATAAATGACCGTCCAAATTCTTCAATTAAATGCGATTCTTCTATAATCATTAAAAATATTAGATAGCATTAAAGAGGTACATTATGTGCATGTATATTTATATATGCAATATGTTAAATTTTTTTAAAGGAGAAAATATATGAAAAAAATATTAATAAATATCAACGTCTTTATATATCTAATAAAATATTTAATTAAAATCATTATCAGCAAATTTATATGCATTTGATATTTAAATATTCGTTAATTTTTATTACGAAAAAGTACTCGAGCTTCAAAAGTTTGAATATTCACTTTTGTCGAATATCGAAGTAGATCAATAATAACAAGGGGTTAAAATACATCCCAAGTGATGAAATACTTCTCTTGAGAAACAACCCTTCAATAAGACCGTGTGGCCTAACGGATAAGGCGTCGGACTTCGGATCCGAAGATTGCAGGTTCGAGTCCTGTCACGGTCAGTGTTTTCTTTTTTTTTTTACACATTTGGCATACGTATCACTGCTGTATGATGATTTATCTTATCCAATTAATGCAAATATCGTAAAATGAAATCATTATTTTCTTTATCGTCCTTCTAATACGCGCATCAATATTCCTTGCGTCCTCGTGCGCTCTAAAAATCAATACCATATAGTGTTGTTTGTATATATATATGTTTCTCACCGTGTTGGTGTTAACCTCCATTTGCAACCTGCAGAGCTGTTGCTAGGCAGTACTATACGCTCCAGTATAAAGCAAAATTTGGAGGGGTGCAAAATTTTTTAATAAACATCAATAATTTTTGAAATGTACAAAAACATAAAAATTAATTGCTCCGTTTGCATTATCGCTAATATCCCTATTCTGAATTTACAAGAGTATAGCGCAATGCTTTTAATTAGCCGCTCTGAAAGAAGAAAATTGACTGAATATAGCATATAACATTTTTAATTGGCTGCTACAACCTATTAAAAATGCTATACATAAATTAAGCGTTTCTACTTATATCTTGTTCATAAATAAATTTATTAAAAATAAAAAATTGATTTATATAATTTACGGCTTTATTTTTAAAATTAAAATTTAATTAAAATCTGAGAAGTATGATGCAGACACGATTATCTGCGATTTAACAACAGTATCAATAAAAAATAAATTATTTGACAATTTCCCAATTACAAGGATCATATAGAAATATTCGCGAAAGCTAAGATCAGAAAATATAATTTTTAAATCATCTTTCTCATCTTTTTACAAAATGTATTATTCGGCTAAGTATATTATTACAAAATATATTATATTATACAAAACCATTAATATATAAAATATATTTCATTAATATACCAGTAATATCAAAATAAATACAAAATAAAATAAAAAAGTTAAAGATAAAAAGAATCTAAAATATAAAAAAGCAAAACAGAACATTATCTTGTTGCGTTCTCTTCGTGGTTCTGGATAGCGCTAAAAGTATAGGAATTCTTTAAATTGCCTTTTATTTGTCTTTATCGCAGCTACTGAGGCGAGCGAGCATATTCCAATCTAGCGACTTTTAAGACAGTCGTAATGGTCAATTCGAATCTTTTAAATGTAATAAAGATGTTAAAAAGTTAACCTTGAATTTTTTCGTATTTTCCGAAAGTTTAGAACAGTAAAGAACATTAAACAAAAAACCTAGATTGTAAATGGAGGGAGTAAAAATATGATTGCACAGACAGAGCTAGGACCAGGATATGGCGAGCTAGGCACTTATTTTATGTAATAAATTTGAGGGGGCACAAAAAATAACAATATAAACTTCTATATATTTTTATTTATTCTCTACTGACGTGCGTCACTACTAACGACTATGTCTCTGACAGTAACCTGCTATTGAACGTTATGTATTAAATAAAAACGAAATATATGTGTTACAACATAAATTTTGATAAAAATATAATTGACAATTTTGCGACTATTTTAGCGTTATTTTAAATAAAAAATGCATAATACGAAAGTGTTTCTTATCAATTTTGACTTCGAATTCATAAGTCGTTTTGCTTTATAATTATGTCCAATTTCTTGAGATAATTGAGAAAAATGACAGAAAATCTGTAAAAATTAAAAAAAACGTTTGAGAAAAGAGCAAAAATAAATGACATTAAAATGTCTGTGTGTGTGTGTGTGTGTGTGTGTGTGGTTACAGAAAACTAATTAAAATAATATATTTTAGTAAGTTAAATAAAATACAAAAAATAAAATTGATTTTACGAATTATATTAGGTATTATAGCCTAATATGTAAAAGTAAATAAATATAAAAGAATATTGTGACGAGCAGTCGAACGATTTACGTGAGTCACAGATCTTTTCATAAATGAATTTTAATTGTTACTTTTGAAAGATAAGTTAAATTAGGAAGTCAGTAAGTTAGTTTTTTGACTACTTTCAAATTTTTTAAAACTTTAGTAATTACTAGTATATAGAGCAGTGTTTGGTATTAGATGCAACTTTTTGATATTAGATGCAACTCGTATAATTTCTGATATGACTGTTCCACTTATCGTTTGAGACTCAACAGTCAAGTTACTGCGATTGTACGTGTGATATAACGAAAAAGTTTTTTCTATTTCTTGTTATCTCTGTAATGCGATTATGTTCCTATTAAATTAATATTAACATTAAGTTAGTATATTGAACATCACTAGTTATTATTAGTTTTTATTATATTTTTTTTGCTATTGAAGGTGCGCATTTTTTTTGGCTCGGGCGCCGAAATGTTTAATCATGGCCCTGATTAATATTAGTGTAGTAACATTCAAATATGGTTAAATATTTCATTCATACATCGTTACCTATATATTCGGAAAATATTCCACAAAATCAAAATTTTCCTAAAAATTCTAGATTCAGTGGTCTTTAAACAAATTTTTAACAAATTGTTTTGTCAACAATACATTTTATGTATTTTGTTTAAAAATTTGTTCACCTTACAGTCAAACTTAAGGAATCCACTTTATAAGCAAAATGCTGCAGTCTTTACATTCTTTCGCAGGTGATTTTTACTTACGAGTTAATATATTTCCGCGATGGCCCTCTCGATGAAGATGTGTACTGCTCGTGAATGAGTAATTTTCGTAATATATACAAACAATAAGTATATTTATATACTATTTTAGATATTTTATTAATAAACATTCTGTGAAAATTCTTATGTAACTGTTCTGAAATATTCAATATATTAGGAATATAAGTTAATCCTTTCATGAATGATTAGCGTTAAGCGGGTACGCGGTGAGAATTTAAAATCAATGATGTTTATATCTATACACTATATTGGTATTTATATCAAGTAATGAGAATCTATAAACACTGCATGGTATTAATCCATATTTACCTATACTTTTTAGAATGTGCTTTCTGTTCTTTGAACGAAATGATTCGTTTTATTTCGTTACTCGTATAACTGATTTCATCGTAAATAATGTTATTACCTCGCATGTCCGACGGATTTACGACTTCATTCTTTACTATCTCTCCAGTGATAATGGTGATTCGTTTAAGATTTACAACATCTACTTCGCCACCATTATTTCATCGATAGTTAATGAGCAGCGATCGCCACCAGTAGTTGATGATGTGTACCGAGTAAAGATTAGTGCGCGAGAGGTGTTACGTACGTACGATCGCTTGTAACGTTTGCTTATAATAGAATTGTGGGAACTAGTAATAATTCAAACGATCGCGAAACACACCGGATCACGGATTTAAAACGCGTTCGATGTTTTTTTTCCCGAGTGCATCAAGGACATTCAAAGTACAGCTCCAAAGACGATGTATCGCCTTCGAATATGTAATATTTTCCGTAATAACATATCGCACGATCAGCGAAGAGCAAGAAATGCAATGCAAATGATTTAGATATATTGCAAAATAACGCTGCTTACTCATCGTCTCCAATATACGCAATTCAAGATGTAACGATGATTTTGTATGTGTATGTAACGATGTATTTAGCGGAAAAATTGCGTTACTTAAATTGAATGCGCAACTTATACCGGGACTGATTTATGTGATAATATTGCTATTAGGAGACTGTGGGATCAAGAGACAGTCGCTGATCCCGGGATGATCTGCATTCCTAGATCTACGATAGGTCATCGTTCGGATTTACCGAGGTCCTATTTTCCCGATTAATCCAATTATCTTCGAGGCTAATCTCGCTCCGGGAATTCACGTTAACGACAACACGCGATAACGCTTCGTCGCAAAATTACGGGCTCAGACACGGGAATGTCGACTCACTGGTGTGTCGAACTAACGACTAGTACTTTACGAATATTGCATCATAGACACTCAACGTTGTTAGATGAATTCGTATAATTTCATCCGCGCCTCTCCGAGCTCTATTACGAATAACCGCTGTACGACGTAGCGACGGGAGCCAATAAAAACAAGATATCTTTTTTTCTTTTTAATGCATCAGCACGCGTGAATAAGACAAAATTGTTCTTTTGCTTTATTCAATAAGCTTGCGAGCTAGAAAATTTTAATTGTTGTTCGATTTATTTCAGTTCACGAGCGAGCGCGAAGCCCAGCCCCGCCGACGAGCAGCAGATCAGAGCAGATTCAGCAGAAAGACTTCAACCACTGTTCGACCACGCCGGCCTGACATTCGACAAAGCTTCCTGTCGAACGCAAAGGCTCGATATCTGATTCTTTTAACCAAACGGCTTCACCCACACGCGCCGACATCGTAGAATGGTAGAAGGTGAACCCGATACAAAGCGCAATATCAGTACGTGCAGTTTTCAAATCTCCTCTATCTATTTCTATGTATTAGATTAGATTGGAATAAATGTTTGTAGCATTGCTTCATTTGTATCATGTTTACATGTTTAAAAGAAATTCGAAATTATATCCGACAGAGTAAAATTTCAGCGTTTAGAATCTGTTTTTGAATTGCGCAATATGATTTTTAACGAAGTTACAAGCAATTTAAGTCAAAATGCATTTTTTTTACTTAATCCGTGATAACTTAGTAACACAAAAAAAATTTTAGAAAGTCGAAACGAAAATTTTAACAGGCTTTTTTTGGGCACACGACATAAGATGAGAAGGAAAATTCCCATTTTAGTCAGTTGCAATTTTCTGTACATATATAAATATTATCAAACTTATAGAAACTCACAAAAAACGTATAGTGACTTTTTGAAAATAGAGATTTCAAACTCATTTTTTAAATTTAAATTTTGTTGATGTTTGACGATGTTATAACTGCTTAAATCTTGAAGTTTGTAGCGCTACAAACTTTTGTTTCGACTCAACTAATTTTAACTTTGGTTTAGCTCATTTTTTATCTTTTTTTGGTTTTAGAAAATAGAAAAGAATAATACATATCATTTCAGCAACATTGCAGCAACTTTACAATTCCCTAGCATATTGCAGTAACATTGCAGCAATGTTGCTACAAACTTGTGTGTTGTATGGGAAATTAAACCAAGATTAAAGTTAAATGATAAAAATAGACACTAGATTTCCATCTGAGCAGCAATTTCTTAATGATATCAATTTTGTGTTGCAGAGTGTGATGTAAAAGACGAGCGACTAAACGGTTGCGGTTCTAAGGAACTCGAACTTGCCTGTAAGCATAAAGTCCAAGTAAAAGTCGGCATTCACTTTGTGTATCATATTGAATCTACGATTTATCGTTAATTGTGTCCTATTATCAGGTATCGGATTAAAAGGCAAAACACTCGATCCAGAGAAGGGATCCTATGTTCAAGCTGATTTTGAAAAGGCCATTGAACTAAGCGGTGAGTTTATCGTTAAAGCATTTTTTATATCGCTTCCTAGTAAAAACTGGCTAACATCATAATATCAATTAATGTTATAACTTTCTACTCAATGATATAACCATTACATACATATTTTATATTACGTTCATATTGTTAAGTGGAGAATTATAATATTGATGTAATACTACTATTGATTAGTGGCTAGTAAATATCAACTAATAGTAACATAATAATAACAATATTACAATTTCACACTCAACAATGTAAGGCTGCTTTTCTTTTAGGAGATACAATCGACAAGTATCGTTTTATCTTTGTTATTCATTGAAGAAATATAGAATAACGTTTGTGTCGACTGTGTCTCCTAAAATAAAAGCAGCTTACGGCTCTTAAGTAGTCATTGTTAAATCGTAACGTTATAAGCGAGAAATGTTGAAATTTCATACCATTTGTAAATAAAGAGAATTTGGGTAAAACAGAATAATGAGATCGCTTTAAAAACATTTGTAAAAATGGGGAATTCCTTATCCTACATAATAATCAGTAAATAGTCGTAAAAGGCACGTGAAGTGTATTTACCAGCGTTTACTTAATGCGCATGTGTAGCCTATTTTTACTTTACGTACCTTTTACGACTATTTACTGACTCATGGCCTTAAATGTAATATAACATGTATGCAGGGTAAGTTAATGTTTTTTTTTAAACTTAATTAAGTTAATGTTAATGACTTGTAAAATTAATTTAGTTACGTTAAAAGTGGCATGAATAAAAAAATAACTCAGTTAAAGCAGGGATCGGCAAAATGCTGAAATTGGGCACGGACGCGTGCCCGGCTGTTCCGGCATGTCTATAATTAACTTCATTCACAACTCAGGAGTATATTCTATTTTTTTTGTACAATGGAATAAAATTTTGCATTTCACAACAATGTATCGAAAAGTTATACATTTTCGATATATCCTATTTAAAACTTCTCAGATGAACTAGGATAACAGTACATATTACTGTGGCTGTGTTTGTTAGTGTGCTTTTATACTGAAATAAAATTATACATAACGAAAATAAGCGCAAATAAATAACACATTTATTACAAAAATAGCATTGTGCATACGTATGAATAGTAGGTATAGTTTTGAGTTTCAAGTACTCTGTTATACTATTAAATTCTTTAGCAATTCAGTTATAAACTGTTATTATAAATATAAAAAGCATTCATTGTAGGAAAATCTTAATTTAGTGTAAAAAATATTTAATGCATCCATATTAAAACCGTTTTTGGGCCGCAACTAATATTTTCTAAATTCTTTTATTTATATATATGTAGTTTATACGTATACTAAGTTTTAGTATTCGAAAAATCAAAAGTTTGGATTTGGCGATGACTACACGAACTCGTTTCTATCTATTTCAATCCGTTGAGAATTTGATTAAATTCTCAAGAATTTGATTTCATTAAATCAATTAAATAATATTTAATTTAGATATTAAATCAGAATGTCTTATTATTCTTAAAATCAAATTACTTTAAATAATAGAACAATTATAATACAGATTATTAGATAAATTTAATATTTTAATTGTAAATTTTGTGAAGTAAAACAAAGTTTTTTTTTTACTAATAAGCATAAACTTTGTGTTCAACTAAGGTTCGAAAAACAGTGCTATTGCGTCAATCTATCTTTATCGCTTATTACGTAAAACAAGGATACAATGACGCATTAGCGTTAATAACTAAATGCAGATCCTAAGTTCGTTAATTTCCCACGTTCATTTTTTTGGCATTATAAGTGTCGTGCTCATCAATCATTGAACTTTATCTAATTCTTTAATAAATACGAAAAAGCGCCATTTACGGCTAAAGTTAGATGTTAGACTCTAATATATATGTATTTTAAATTTTATCTCAGAAATGACTGCGAGTTGATTATTTTCAATCTTCCAACACAATCAATTTGAAATATTAATATTCCCCTAAATTCAATTAGATCTATGATTTAACGCTATTAGCACATTTTAAAACCTGCAAGAAACTTATTGTAAAAAATATTACCTCGGTCAGAATTTAAAATCGGATTAAATAATTTTCTAATTAAAATTTTATAGTATTAAAATATTACAAAAATAAAAAAATTTTTAACTGAAAAGAAGTTAATAAATTAAAATTAAAAAATAACTAGATCAGTTAAAAATTATTAACTTTTTAACTTTTTATTTAACTTTTAACTTATTAACTAATTATTATTCTATTCTGTGTATATGTTATATTATATTATTGTGAAATAGTGTTTTCTGGATTATGATTATTTCATTATATATTCACAGAATATGGCAAGTTTCACTACTTCCTACTCGCGGTGTGCGGCTTTGTCAGCACCAGTGAGGAGATGGACGTGATCTCTATGTCCTTCATCTTACCGAGTGCACAATGTGATCTGAAGCTCGACACTCAAGCAAAAGGATGGCTCAACTCGATCATCTTTATCGGGATGATGGCCGGAGCGTACGCTTGGGGTTCCATAGCGGACGCTCTCGGTCGTCGAAAGGTCCTGATCGCCATCTCGTTCATGAACGCTCTGTGCATTGTTGCTTCTAGCTTCAGCCAAACGTATGAGCTCTTCATGTTGTTCCGTTTCCTGAACGGTGCAGCGTAAGTATCCAAAATAAGTCGCGTAATTGCTATGAACTGCGATATATATAGCCGCGCTACGCAATATGTGCTCGCTCAGCAACGAAAAAGTTGAATAATTTAGTGACGTTCCAGGCTAGGAGGTAGCGGACCGGTCATCTGGTCGTACTTCGCTGAATTTCAGCCGAAGTCAAAACGCGGTTCCATGCTGTCATTCATGGCAGCATTCTGGACGTTGGGGAACCTTTTCGTAGCCGGTAAGATAAAAGTTATATGAAATGAATAAATAAAGAAACCAAATACGCGCGAGATCAAGAATGGAGCTAAATGCTTAATAATATTTCTATGTAAATTTTAAATAAAATTTTTAGTTATATAGACTGTGCGCCGACTACTGTCAGAAACACAATCAACTGAAGTTAAAATAGTACAAATTAAATTGACTATATCAATTTAATAAGAATGATATTAGTATCACATTATTAAATCTTATAATAATAAAATCAATTAAAAGCTAATAAAGAGAAGCAGGGCTACGAGCCAATAAATTCGTTAAAATCTTTAATTTATTCTAATATATAAAAACATATTTTAAAATCAATTAAGACTCCTTACAATTTAAATACAAATTGGAGAGAATAAAGGGTAATAGGAATCGGGCGCAAAAGACGTCGCGCGATTAATCATAATTTGTATCATTATTAAATTGACGATTATTTTAGTTTGTAATGTTAGCTCCAGTTTATGTGATTGTGTTTTGCGTTTGACAGTAATCAATACGCAGTTAATTTAACTACAATAATAGATATATTTAAAATTTACGTACAAATATTATTAGGTAAAAATCTAGCTTCGACCATATTTGGTCCTTCTTATTTGATTTATTCATAGTGGTTTTTCTAGTTTAACTTATTAAACGTTTTAATATTTTATTGATAAACGTTCTCTCCTTGTACATCTATATATACACACACAATCTTGGCTTTTCATCCACAGGCTTGGCATGGTTGATCATCCCTAGGGAGATGGGTTTTACGAGCACAACATTCACGTACAATTCTTGGCGAATTTTTCTGTTGATTTGCGCTATTCCATCATTCGTTGTAACGGGATTGCTTCTGTTACTCCCTGAATCTCCCAAATACCTCTTGTCTTCAGGAAAATACGAAGAGGCACTTGAAATTTTTCGCAAGATATATGTTATTAACACCGGCAAACCACGCGATTCCTACACGGTAATTAGATTTTAAACAAATTATTCGTAAGTGGCATTATATAAATACACGAAAAAAATGTTGTATTGCTGAACAGTATCAGTCAACAGTGGTCTATTCTTGTTTATTTAATAATCTTGCTTACTCAATAATCAGATAACAAAGCGTGTCTAAGCAAAATTACGCAAATCTGTGATGGCTTCTGATGTTTTCAACATATTTGTCTTCAATGATTTCACATACACTGACATTGAAGAAATACGCAACAATGTATATATGTGTTACCATTTGTTTTACGACTATCTTCGCAAGATAGCATCAAAGTTATCTCTTATCGACAATATATGACAGCATTGTGTGTGATCCAATAAATTATTATGACAACATATAACGACAATAGCACAAATTTGATGATTTTAAAATTCCCGGGAAGTTGTTACTCAAAGAAGTGCGATCCGAATTACGCATGAAGCGTATGAGGTATCATTCTATCCTTTTTTATTCTTCGATGAACAGCAAGGACAAAACGATGCATCATACGCTTTGTGTGTAATTCCGAATGCACCCAAGTTCTAATATCTTCACTCCCAAATGAAGACGGACTTAGTTTATTACAATTTTAGTAGCTTCACATATGATGTGATCAACATACCAACAATAATAAAAAAAATATAAACACGTTTGTGACAACAGGATTAATGAAATAAATAACATTTTATTAAAGCAAAATCATGATGTATTTATTTCATCAATACCGTTAATTGTTTCATTGAATTAACAAGATTATTTTCAATTATACTGCTGTCTGTTAATGCTGTTAATACAACGTCATTTTTTTATGTAGTAAAGTTCGGTCTGTAATTCTAAAATATCTCTAACTTGTTACATAGGTAAAAGAATTAATTCTCGATGACTATCCAGACTCAAATCCAGTAAAAGACGACGTCGAAGAAAAGAGCAAGTGTAAAACTATGCTGGGTGACATCGTGGAGAATAGTAGACAATTATTTGTGACACCTATACTTCGCTTCACAATAATATCGATCGTTATTAATTTCACCTTCCATATCGGTTACTACGGTCTGATGATGTGGTTCCCTGAGCTGTTTAATCGTTTCGACGAGTTCCATCGCGATCAACCAGGCGAAGTAGCCTCAATCTGCCAGGTTACCGATTATGTTGTTAACAAGGGTTCGCACAGCGTCGAGAATGTTTGCTCCGATAAAATCGGAGCTTCTGTCTTTATGGAATCTCTCATCACAGTAGCGTCTGCCATACCTGCCAATATCATCGCTGTTTTGGGAATGGATCGCCTTGGACGTAAATTCTTTCTAGGTGCTTATTTTTATGAAAATTGAAAGCAATAAGAGATTTTGTTTTTTTAGCTGAACTTTTTACACCATCCTTCTTTCACCTTTTTCATTTTTTTTTTCTGTAGAGAGAAAAAGAGGAAAGATAAATCGTGCAAAATATTCAGCTGAACAGAACAAATCTAAGATTATCAGAATGTAACATTTTACAGCTTTTTTTTAAATAATTATTCCAAATATTTTACCCGTAGTGTTCAGTACATTTTCATCAGGACTATGCTCGATCGGCTTATATTTTGTGTACAACAAATATCAGAATTTGACTGTGTCAGCTATCTTCAGTGGTGCGATAAGTTGTGGTAATGCAGCATTGGATTGTCTCATTACCGAGGTATTTCCGACACAACTGCGTGCTACCGGGATCGCCATCTCGATGGTCGCCGCTCGTCTTGGTGGGATAATTGGTAATATCGTTATAGCCCAACTCTTGGATATGTATTGTCCAGCACCGACCTTCATAGTGGCGGCTCTTCTAATTGGTATGTTTCAAATATTTTGTTAGTTCTCAATTTTTTGTTCAATTTTTATTTTTAATTTTTTTACTCCATTCTTCATTTTGCAGGAGGAGGTTTGCTGTGTTTATTCCTACCCAACACAACGCGTGAACCACTTTCCTGACCTCAGCGAAAATCCATCCCAATCGGGCAGTAATTGATTGATTATTTATCTTCTGTCCAGTACATAAGTGCCGTTGAATTTTATGGAATCCGAAGTAAACGAAACGATTGCAAAATAGCGTTGCAGAAATTTAAAGTTTGAAAAATATTCTTATTTCGCCAAGTAAGAGTAGGAAATTAGAATTTCTGCTGTTTATAATATAATCCTTATTATAATAGGTAAAAGAGAAAATATAAAACACATTGTTTAAGCAGAACGTTGTAGCGAAAGTTTAATGGAAGTGACGAAACTAGAAAACGAATATCTAGTTTGATACATGATACACAAATTAGGTGTCTTAGTCGAATTTTATACATATGCTGACATTAATCATATTATTTAAAAATACCGTAATTAAATCCTTGAACTAATTGCGATATATAATAAATATATTTTCCTATAATATATTCTCTTTCGATTGAAAATTGAGACTAACACTAAATAAATTTGTTATTACATTATGTCGCATTGGACGTAACTGACATATTGATGTAGAAAAAAAATTAAAAGAAAGTAACATATTCCTCAACGCTTTTAATATTCTTTCCCAATTTTCTGCAGCAAGAAGTGATGATCATGGTGTAGAGCTATGCTCTCTATGCTAAAATTCCGGATTCAAATCCACCCAGAACATATATATCAGATTTTATCTGATGTTATTTTTCGGTAGGTAATGGTAAATAGAAAATAATATCTTTACCATGACAACTTTTTCCAGACCCGATTTCATTAATGTAAGATTAATTTTAATTTCGGTTTACTTACTGATTATTTTTCTAATTCTCAGAATTTTAATTATTAGAATTATAAAAACATAAAAAGGTAAATTAAATCTAAATTCAAGTTTATATCGTAATAATGGAACCAAACTTTTATAGGTTATTCGGAACATTGAAGGTCCTACATATTAGTAGATATATGTAGAAGAGGTCACCACATCTCTGATAAGAGATTAAGAATTTAGGTTGATATTTTGGTTGCGCTCAAGGAGCGCGGTATCAGTGCTATTTGTGTCATACTATCCTTGTTTCATATCTAATGAACGATGAAAATAGAACGAAACAAATAGCGCTAATAGTCTCCCCGACCGCGGCCTTCGCGTGTCATATGTGAAGGTTTTTCAAGCCTGTTGATTGACGGCAGGACAGAGATTTCAGATTCCTCCATCGTACAACCAACCAACAGGTTTGAAAAGCTTGTCGTACGACGCACATGAAATATTAGACTTAGGATGGAATCAGACTACGCATTGAAGATTAAGATTAAAGATTGAAAATTAAAATTTGACCAATGAGGATAAAGGAATCTTAGCTCCTATTATTTTAATTAGCCAAATTTCAATTTTTAATCTCAATCTTCAATGTATAATCTAATTCAGGCTTTAGAAGGATCGAGATTAAATCCAAATAATATACAAAGTGATACATCTAATAGAGATGATGCATGTACGTAGGAGTAAAAGCTTGTTCTCTTTATCATAGTACTAGACTGCAATGAAACTATTTTGCTTTCACTTAAAGTTGAATATATACAGTGGTGATCATGAAAATAGTGCCATCTATATACAAATTAATAAAATAATTATTTTATTTGTCTTTAATGTCATTTATTGTACATTAGTAACAATTTATATAAAAAAAAAAACATAAGGAGTTATTGCTGAAATAAGGTCCATGTTGTATTGCAAGAATCCTAAAATGATCTGTATTATAAGTAGTCTGGTCATAATAATAAATCCAAATTATCAATTAAGTTTATTTACATAAAAAAATGTTTATATTAAATATTAATGTAATTTCATAGATTAGATATAGTAAAATTATAATAAAATTTTATCAGTTATATATTTAAAATTGTATTGTTGCTCGCTCTAGAAAAATAGTGGAAAATACATTAAGAATAAAAAATGATAAAGAAATTTGTGGTTCTAAGCGAAAAACTACATCTCGAATTGATCGTCAAATTATACGTGCACTCATAGGAAGGTTCAATTAATCTTTAATTTCATTTGATCTATTTTATAAACATATATAATTTGACGATTAATTCGAGATGTAGTTTTGCGCTTAGAATCTCAAGTTTCTTCATTATTTCTGAGTTTTATGCATTATTTTTCTGAAGCAACCAATTTTTGTAATTTCTTGTTGTGATTCCTTCATAGCATAAAGTTAAAATTTATTTCATCAGCTCTACAGTAAATATTTCGTTCTATTTTCATTGCAATTTTAAATAATTGACTAAATTCCATTATACATTTTACTTAATCTATGAGATCACATTATATTTAATTTTTTTTAATGTTATGTACTTACGTTAATAATTTAGTTTTATTTTATGATCAGACTACTTATAGTATGAGATACTTTAAGATTCTCGCAATACGACCGCACCCTATTTCGGCAATAATCTGTTTTTTTTAATAATGTTTTTTCAATTAATATGAATTGTTGCTATTGTGTAATGAATAACATTACCGACAAATAAAAACAGACCGATAAAATTATATTACAAATTTTTGTATAGATAACTCTATTTTCATGATTATCACTTCATTTTTAATACGAATACACTAGTTACTTAAGTATGAGTATACAATATAGTTCAGCTGTAAAGAGCAAACCTTAATTGACAAGTAATCACTAATCAGCAAGTATCAGGTTCAATTCCAATTCTCATCCCGTATATGGTTCAATTTCACAATACAAAAAGATTGAAAAGTTGAAAGTTATGAGTAAAATAAAGGAGATATAAATAGTATTTATGATAAAATACATTTCAGTGTACCTTGATTATGTTCAGGACATGATAGGACGTAAGTGAAGAGACATGAAAGTGGAAGTAAAAACCAAGTAATCTCCATTTTTTACGGTATATTCACAATACACGTCCATATAAAGTAATGAAATCATTCTCTCATCATCTTTTCCTTTTGTCTAGCGAGCTTTTTCTTACTAAGTTTCTTTTTCGATGGCTCCTCCTCTGTGGCTTTCGCAACAACGTCCTCTTTTTCAGTCAATATTACTTCAATGTGACAAGGCGAGCTCATATAAGCTATAAGAATCACAAGTCTTAGCAATAATCCGCTTCCTCAGTCCATATATATATTTAAAGAATCAAATCTGTTAGTATCAACTAAACTTGCTGTATAATTCAACTTTCCTTTTTTTTTACTTTTCACGTTGGAAAAAAAAAAGAAAGGATAAACGATATTCTCGCAAATTCAGCTAAATATAAAAAAGATCTAATATTTGTTACAGAATTATAAAAACACTTACGATTTATACGACCATGAGCTCTGTACGTTCTTCTACGAAGGCAAGGGGCATGATTGACCTGAATATGCTCGATTACAAGGCGGTCCACATCGAGTCCCTTATAATCGGCATTACTCTCTGCATTTTTCAAAAGTTGCAGCAGAAATTCTGCAGATTTTTTAGGCCAACGACCTAAGAAATAAATAATTATATATTAGTTGTTAGATTTAATATAATTAAATTATATATTTAACTTTTCTATAATTCGATTTGATTATCAACGCTTCCATGAGCTGATTTCAATCTTATGTTCAGTACTAGAAATCATTTCGAGAACTTGGACAGAGAAAGATTTAACAAATCACATTTGAACAATTTTGCTAATGATTCAATATATGCGATTGATCAATTCTTTTTCATCCAAGATCTCAGAGCGATGTCGAGCATAACAGATACAAGACTTCAGAAATGATATGCATAGAAATTATTTATTAAAATGCTTACAAAGCAGAAAAGAATTTGTGCAACAGAAATAATTCAAATACAAAATAATTAATGTGTTATTTTCTTAGTCTTGCATGTATTATCGGATAAAAAAACTAGAAATTCTGTGTTCTGTATAATGCAATTCTGGCAATTTATTAAATTCAAACAATCCAGCAGAAAACAAGCATCATGTGTCGCAGAGTTAATATTACGGTGTATTTGGTTGGACGCATTAGTATGCACTGGTGCTATTAAAGTCATACACTAATTTAATTTAAATGTAAAAGTGAGAGAAATATAAATATTTTTCGAATTATATAATATACACATTTTACTTAACAGCACAATAAAATACATTAAGGATTTCACAGTTTTATATCAGCGATTACATGGCCTAATTTATACCAAAGTTATAATATTGATTGTTATAATTACTGATGTTACATGTAAACACTATTTTACAACGAAATGGTTACAATGACATAATAACTCAGTTGTTTGATTAACAGACTTAGAATTACTACACTAATATAAAAAAATGTATAAATAGAATATTGTAACTTTGATATAAATCAAGTCATGTAAATGTAATCTAAAAGTTTTCACTTTACTTGTTAACTCCTTTACATTCTTTTATTCTCTCAGCTTAGTGGAAATAAAATAAATCTAAATGTATATTTTATAAATGCGGCTTACTTAAGTAGGAGTTATAACATCAATGTACATAACATTAAGTACAAGTTAAAAAATCATGTAAATGTACTAAAATTTGTATGACTCTAATAAGAACTAGTGTATACTAAGTACATCCAATCAAACTATTAGAGGAACAAAGAACATAATTTCTTGTTACTTAATTTCTGTCAGGTCAGCTGTTTTTGTGGTAAGCATCCCACACATTAAAGGATGATGCATAACAAATTTAAGCAATAAAACATAAGCAGTAAACAAATTTACTGCCAGTATTAAAAATCTATAGCTTACATTACATGCATGCTAAATTTTTATTATTGCAATAAATTTTGAAACAGTTATAATAAAGTCTGTAAGAACATAACTTAGGGAACTTTCTAACGAACAACACTGTGTAACATAGAGATCATTTCATCTTTGTTGAACATTGACAAACACTAAGGATGTAATAATTCGCTGTGTTATACTGTGTCGCTTGTGTCCTTTGCTGGAAAGCTCCCAGTGAACAGTAGCAAATTCAACATGTTTTGATTCCTTACTACTTCAATCTTAAGTCCAATCTACAATTGTTTAAATGTAGTTATAGTTGAAAGAATTGAGCAATTACAGTTAAATGTGGAGAAGATGTCCATGTGATTGGAAAATTCTTACAACTACAATCACTTATAACTATGTTTACACAATTAGAGATCAGCCTGTACTGTTAAATTTTTGTGTATGCCATGATTTTTTACATATAGTTCACTAATGTAGACATACCTTGCGTAGTGCCAAACTGTTTGGCTTGTGCACATCTGCCGACGCCACCATTGAACCTACGAAAAGGGACGCATTCCTTATGTTCGACGACATTCTTCAGGTACTTCTGCGCCCTCCGCAGGGCCATGCTTTTGATAGCACGCGCCGTCTCATGGGTATTCTGTAACATGTAAAAGATGATCGTACTCACGTTTGTAAACATCCCTGGGAGAGAACATGGCGTTTGAGGTTATACTTCTACAAAGGAGATATTTACCTTGAAATGCACACGAAGATTGGAGCCACGCGCTTTGCACGACTTGGTTTGGTTGACTGGCTCGTGGGAGTATCGACCCATTGCGTCCTGAAAACACAGACAGACCGATCACGTTTCTCTCCGACTGTACGCGACCATAAACGTGACGGTCAGCAGCAATCCGACCTGGACACGTCATGCCGCGTTTCTCTTGCGATTTCGTGATGGTTCTCGCGAAAGGACATAACATTTTCCACATAGATGTGGCACCAAGGTTGTTACTCGAGAAATTATCTCGCATAAAACGAATACCTCGACGATGAGCTAGATGCGAATGGATTTGACAAACACGACGAGCCGATTCATACATACCTTTTAACGCCACAATTTTAAAGGAAAAGTCGTCACTTCACCAACATTCTACTTCCTGTGCGCACGCAAAGCTGCCAACTGAAAATCATAGGGATGATGTGGAAGTTCCTATCTCGATGAAAGAATCTTCTCTCTCCTTGTACGGTACTGCGCAGACGTGGCGCAAACACGTGCGCTATTTAAACATTTACACCGCGGTAATTTTGAAGAATGAGAGATCTATTTAATCCAACATGCTTATTGGAATAAGTAGGAATTGTGATATAGAAGGATGCGTTACAGCTAGTATGCGATATGCGAACAAAAACTTTAAATATCACGCCTATTTTACGAAACTATCAATAGAGTCAATCCTAGCAACTTTTATTAGCATATATATTATACAGTTCTATGATGGCGTTTTTGGCCATATTTTTACTACTTTTTATGGCCAATTAAGTAATTATAGTTTTCATTTTTATTATAGTTCAATTTTATTATACCATACTTAAAAATGCTATTTGTTATTTATAATAGAAATTTTTATAAGATACGATTTCTACATATCTATATTAAATAATTAAAATAATTAAATAATTGCATTAAAGAATTTTGCATAGGTAATTAACAGTAGTTATTAATTCTTTTACGTATCCTCTGTGTAATTATTCTGTTTAAATATATAAAACTTAAAAATATGTACATTCTTTAATCAAGCTGTATTCAAGATTGAAATTTCTTTAATTTTTTTGATTATTTTCAATTGTCGTTATTTATGCCATTGTTGAAAGATGGGAAACGTAGATCAGTATCTTTAAGATTTTCTTCAATCCATTTCTCTATCTGTGCATCTAATTCTGGAGTAAAATGGTTTTTCCAATCGCCGTTTATTCCTTTTCGAACAAAAGAACCTTTCTTCATGATTCCGCAAGCCTTTAATTCAGAATGATTCACCATCGGATTGTTCCGAAAATTTTCGACATTAAGATGATTTGCCACTTTGTTAATTTCTTCGTCAGTGTACGTTTTACCCAAAAATTTTGCTACTTTCTTAATTGCTTTTGGAAAATTCTAGAAAACGTAAAATTTTCTTCAATACATATATCACATAAAAACCAAGCTTAGATAATAATAAAGATATTAGCTATATCTCTTTGGTAAATAAATTATTAATTGTCTAATTAATAATAATATAATTATAAGGCTCTGTAAGTATAAAAAAATATAGAAATAATAAGAGCCAATATTATGGTATATAAAATGGTTTTAACTCAAATAATATAAAAATTACATAAATAAAACATACGTTTCGACTCCGATCGGGTCATTTTCAATATTACAAGTTAATACAGAAAAATTAAATAAGAATAATTTTTAAGTCTGAGTTAAAATAATTATAGACATTTTTTAATGTGTGTGATAAATTCCATTTCGTAAATTACATGAGTTCGCATTCTTCATTTTATATTTCAGATCAATAAAGTAATAAGATAGCAAAAAGTAACATTCTTGTCAATTGTATGAGTAAAATACTAGTAAGCGTCCTTTGAAACATGAAAAAAAATAGTATCACAATTTAAGCTAATTTGCAAATCACGTTATCTGACATATATCACTCAGATAGTATATGTTTTAGTTCTGCAAACATAAAATAAAGAATGCGAACTCATATAATTTACGAAATGGAATTTATCACACACATTAATTAAGATGTCTACAATTATTTCAACTTAGAACTTAAAGATTCTTATTAAATTTTTCTGTATTAATTTTTCTATATTAACTTGTAGCATTGAAAATGATCCGATTGGAATCGAAACATATGTTTTGTTTACGTAATTTTCATATTATTTGAGTTAAAACCATTTTATATTACTGGTTCTTTGCTCTTATTATTTCTATATTGTTTAATTAATAATTTATTTTATTAGTTAGTCTTATACAATTGAAATATTATATGTAGAATATAAATATTAAAAAATAATTAGAATTATCGTTATATTATATAATCTGAAAAATGAAATTTATGTCCACACTTACGTATGTTACCTCCTCATAAAATAAAAATAGAAGATTTGGAGAATTCCTCAAATTCCAGGCTTCTTTTAAATGATCCCAATATGGCGACCAAGGCGCTTTAGAGAAAAAAGGTAAAGGTATTAAAAATTGTTATCTTTTTATAAAACATTATTTCCACTCTTCTTTTTCCTCGAAAAAAGAGAACGAATATAAAACAAAATGTATTTTTCGTTGTCAAAAATATAATTTTATGTCGAATGTCTAAGTAAAAAGATCAATGCTTTAAAACGCACACACTCATAAATAAATTGTCTATAGACAAAACTTTTTGGAAAGTGTTGGGTACCCGTGAAAATGTTAAATAATACAAATATTTATGATTAAATACAGAGAATTAAGTAAGAAATATGTATAGTTCTTTCTTTGAAGAAATCTTCTACTTACTCAAGTTATTTTGAAAATATTCTAAAAAGGTAGGAAAATCACCGATATATCCTTGAGTCAAAATAGACGTGTTTAAATGATACCAAGACGTAACGACGTCTTTTGGATTGCGAGCGATGTAAACGACCTTCAAGGAAAGTCTCTTATTACTAAATTATATAGAAGATGACATTTATTAATGAATGATCCAATTTTTCAGTTATTACCTTACAAGTATCTAAAAGTCCAGGCAACATGCTAAAAGGAAAATGGCTTTTTATAAATCGAGGTGATTGTATTTTAGCGATAACTTCATAACCAGGCTTAGCTATTTCCCGACATAGTTCTTGCTTCATTTCGTCATTTTTATTCATTGATAAGAATTCTTGGGTCACTTCAGGATGATTAAATAAACTAAACCTGAGAGAATAAAATACAATTTAACAAGCATTTAAAAAGATCGTAAGATTTTTTTATATTTCAATTTAAAGTAAAAAGATAAAATTATAAATATTAAATTAATAAATATTTAAATAATCACAATGAACAATTATAGAGAAATACCTTTATATATAAGTATAATGATTATAAATATAACAAAAATGAATTAAAGATGTATAAATAACAAGTTAAATTGTAAACCGCTTATTAGAAAAACAAAAGTAGAGGAACGTCACAGACGCTTCTTAGGGTTATCTTACTCCAGAAAGGGAAATCTTTCGGTAAGTGGACGCTTTTTCGCTACATCAAAGTTCAAATCATTGGCTAAAAGCCATATGAGCTCCTGTGCCATAGTCGTTCCTTATAATAGAAATAATAGTAAGTTAAATTTCTATTTTCCATAAAAAAAATATTTTTTTTACTTACTAAAATAACCCTCAATAAAATTTAAAACATTTAATTAAAAAAAAATATGTCTTGATTTAATTAAAATATATTTGAAAATAAATTTTAAAAAATTAGAAGACTAATTTAAACACTTAATTTTGAGAAAAATTAGAATAATAAAACATTTCTAAAATTTTAATTAAAGTTAAAGTAAAAGAGTTATATAAGAAATTAGAACATCACTTAAAGATAAAATCTAATTAAAATCTTTACTGTCTTGTATTTTTATTGTTTAAATTTAGAATACATATATGGGTTATTGTTTTATTTTGTGTGTATATGTTTTATTACTACACACACTCTCTCTCTAAAATATCCATATAACATAATTATCGTTGCTTAATCCTTTTTGCATTCATCATCAGCTAATATACGTACCCGATCTTGGGTATGAAGTCATCCAGATATCGTCTGATCGGGCTTTAAAATTATAAAAGCCTTCACCCTGTTCGACATATCTGAAAGGAAAAAAGTACTTTTTGGTGCCCACAAGAACAAAGCCAGTTCTCTCGCCTTTAAAAAGCTTTAGTATTTCCTTTGTCTTTTCTTCTAATAAAATCTCGTAGCTTGGAGGTCGCCGGGCCATCTTCACTAACTATTATGTCTTGTCCACTTGATCGTCGATATAAAATGTTTTACTTTATTACTACTTTTTGATTATCCACAATTAAAAGAATTAAGAAATATAAACTACTATTACAAGAATTATGTATATTAAACTTTTCAGTAAAAATGTTAATGCAATGCTAGACAAAACTGTAATGATTTATAGTCGCAATTAATGATAAGAAAAAAAATCTGATAACAATAACCCGTGCTGATAACTACTGACTTGATACGCATCAAATCTTCGAATGACAACTTCGTGAGGCTCGACACGGAGAGTCTTTCCCTTTCCTCCAGCTGTCTTTCCGTTTTTTGGCCTTGGTTAGGCCAGCAACAGACTATGTATTAAAGATGACCTCTTTTGCACCGAGCACTTAGTGTATATTTAACTAGTAACTTTCTATTAAATTACTTTAATATCGGCAATACATCTAATGAATGGTGTACTAAGTTGGTACAAGATGATTCATTAAATAGCCATATCGTGTATACATTTACACGCATCGCCTAAATTAAGACATAATCCGAGATAAATTTTATCTGTAGAGACATATTTTATATATTCATTTTTATATATAATTATACATATATAAAACATTTTTTTCTGAGAATTTGAAGAAAGTTACTGCATGGTTAGCACGCGTGTAGCGCTTGTGTAAACAAGAATTTAAAAAACAAAACATTAGAATTAAAAAATTTCGAGATTGAAGATTTAATGAAATTTGATTAACAAAAACAAAAGAAACTAAAATTTCTTTGGTCAAGTTCCAATCTTTCCATCTTCAATCTCAATCTCCAATGCGTAGTCCGATTTCAGTCTTATTGCTATTAATGTTTCTATATGCGTATCTAAAATCACTGGCAATGTGTGGTAGATTAGCGTGTTTTCAATATCGACGAATTATAAATTAAAAAATATTCCTCTATTTTCTATTTTATAATATATACAAAAAGTATATATAGTAGCAGGGCCAGCGATTTATTGAAATTTTGAATATAGAATTTTCTGCCGATTAGTCGGAAAAGAAGGGCAACCCGAAAAACTGTTAAAAATTGTACTCAACTTATTTTTACTCAGAAGCAATATATTTATTGCTTTTATATTTATATAAATATATTTATTGCTATTTACAACTGCAAATATTGATTATTGAACTGTATTTTGCGCATATAAATCTATTTACAAGTTTGTTTAAATCTAGGATTTCAGTTATATTACAATAAATGTAAAGGATTATGAGATTATTTAAGCGACTTTGCCTACATCGTTAATCTTAAATACTCATTTTAAATTTTCACAAAATTATCAAATAAGTACCTATAAGTTATAACAAAGGACGATCTCTCTTAAGATTCTTTTTAGATAACTTTTTTTTCTATTATTTGAGTTGATGCCGAATTTCTGCATGTAATGAGCATAAAAGAGAGTTCGGTTAATGAAAAACTATAATAAATAATTTTGGAAAAAACTCTGTGTGTATATATATATATATATATAAAAGTGTAGAAATTCCACATTCAGATTAATTTGAATAAAACTCTTCAAATATTCTATATATTATATATAATCACTTATTAATTGTATAGATTAAAAATATCAACCGAGTTAAAGACTTTTGTTAAAGACTCTTTCGTCACAATTTTAAACTTTGTGTTTGTGATTGATAAAATGACCTACTAACAGAACTCATTGGTAAAATCTATATACATCAAATCTAGTAAAAGAATTTAGGTTAGTCGGTTAACTTTCTGCAACTTACTATAGTACTTTCTTCTTCGAAAGGTGCGGCGGTATTTTAAATCTTATTTAATTGTGTAAGGAGAAGCATTTAGAGTCAAAATAAAATTTTTTATTTTACATTTTTTAAGATTTAAGGTACCAAAAATATATTTCCAAAATATTACATCAAATTATATAAAATAGCAGGACAGAAATTTCAAAGAATTTGATACAGGAATATTGTGAATAAAAACGTAAGTAGAAATTATAATGTGTTAAATTATTTTTTTAACAAAAGGTAAGAAAGGCGCAAAGAGTATGTACATATATACATGCTCTTCGAAAAAAACTGCTAAGTAGTACTTCAATAATGATATACGATAAATCTTAAGTATCAGTAGTAAAATATTGATAAAATATTTAAAAATATTTTAAATATTTTATAAATGTTCTGTGCTGTTTACCCTGCTTAAAAGAATGGATAGAACTGTATTATATTATAGAAAATTTGACCACGATATTATTCAAAAAAGATAGATATACAAAATTTAATCACGAATACCTCTTCTATCATATACTGTGATGAAGGTTTTGTATGTATCTGGATTTCACGATGATGAATACAGAAAACTATAGAATTAAATCCGTTATTCAATTTCATACAAAATTTTCCAATCAGATTCTATCTGTTTTCTTGAACAAGGTAGATATGTATCTTTTGAATTCTCATTGAAGGGTCTTTCCAACCAAGATTGTAGTAGCTTTAATTATTCTGCAAAAATTATTGTATCACAAAATCGCGTTACTTCATTATTAACTCATCGAGTTAAAATACGTCATTTGTATATAAGATTTGAATTAAGAATTCAGATATCATAAACTTGTATAGTGATGCTAATTATTATAATTTAATCCTATAAAAAAAGAACTTATATACTAACATATTGGCAAACATTGGGCAAATTCAAGTTGAAAAAACGGCTTACCTGCTCGTCTAGCAAATGAACATAATTGGTTATTACTTATAGATCCAACCAATCATATTTGATCGCTCGGCAAACGTACCTAGCTGCTTTGCCGTCTTAAACTCGTCTATTGGCTGCGTTCAGCAGAGAAAGCAGCTTTACAACCCATGGGCTTTACTGTCTTGTGGCCTTTAATCCCTAGTGACATTTGGTTAACTAAAGTTTAGCAAAATAGTCAAAATATTGGTTTTCAACCGGAACAAGTGATTGTTCTCTTGAGATAAATCCTTAATTAATTAAAGAAAAACTGTACATATATATTGACATGTCATTGTCTCATTGACATCAAAGGAGTTCATGTAGATATTGAAGAGGTAGAAGATGTATTAATGTAGAGGTGAGTTTTGCGCAATTGTACGCAAATGTAATCTTGTTCTGGAAAAGTTGCATTTGCGCATAATGCGATCAATTGATGAATTAAAAAAATTACCTTACATTTAAAATACAATTACGAATTGTCAAAAAAGTTTTGTATAACTTTAAAAATATTATCTTTTATATATAAATTTATTCAGAAACAATGACAATTATTAATAATCATTTTTTGGCAATTCCGAATTTTTTTTGACAATCTAATATTATATAGCTTACTATTGTTATTAATAATTACAATATACATTTTTTCCTGTTGTGTCAGAATTTCAGTTTTACAAATCACGGACACACTTTTATCCATATAATGGCTGGAAATTGCAAGAGAGTAATATTGTGTAAAGGATTATCTGAAAAGAGCAACATGCAAGAAATGTATATCAAAACATTGGAATCAGCCGGTTATAATTGCGAATGTTTACAAACTTTGCAATTTGAATTTGTGAATATTTCAGATCTGCGAACATGTTTATCAGTAGCTGACAAATATAGTGGTAATCTTATTACTTTCAACATAATAATTATTGTATTATATAATAATTATAATTAATATTATTATAAAATAATAACAATAGGAGAAGGCTCGACAATAATAAATAAATATTAAAATGATTTGACAGACAAGTCAAAATAAAAATATTACAATTAAGAAGGGAAACAAAGATATATTTAAATTAAAAACAACGAACGTTTTGATACCGATCAGGTCATTCTCAATGTTAATAAATTATTAAAATATTAACGGAAATTTAACAAATAATTAGAATATTAACGAAAATTTAACATGAATCATTATCATTTTTAGTATAATGTGAATAAATAAGTTTTAATATTGTGTTGTTTGTTAAATTTCCGTTAACATTGAGAATGACCCTGTATCAAAATGTTTGTTGTTTTTAATTTAAATATATCTTCTTTATCCTCCTATATATCATCCTATTAATTATAGGTTTAATATTAACAAGTCCTCGTACAGTTGAAGCTGTTGCATTGGCAATAAAAGAAGATACTAGTATTCTGTACCATTGGGAACATATGCCAGCGTACTGTGTAGGATCTATGACAGAATCTCTCGCAAGAAATCAACTTAACTTGCAACATTGTGTAGGCAGTCAGTCTGGTAATTCAAAGCAATTGGCTGAAAAAATTGTTCTTGATATAAAAAAAGATTCCAAACCATTATTGTATCCATGCAGTGAAATTGCACGTGAAACTATTTCTTGTATTGTTGGAGATAGTGGAATTTCAATAGAAAAGATTGTAGTTTATAGAACGTTAGAGAGCAAAACTCTTGAACAAGAATTGCCAAAAATACTCGAGGAATCTCCTGGTATATTCGTTTTTTTCAGTCCATCTACAGTTGAGCATATTACAGCGCAACTTAAGAAAAATTTTTGTAGTATCAAAGATATAAAAGCAGTAGCAATAGGACCTGTAACAAAAGATGCATTAATTGATTCTGGTTTCAATGTATATGCTACTGCGAATAAACCTGAACCAGCAGCTTTGATGCAAGCGATCATAGCTGCTGAATCTACGGAAACTTTAAAAAAGAAAAATTTGTAACGTGACGTGTTTTGGGTTGTTTGTCACAAGGATCGACCTCGAAAAGTTGCAAACCAAATTGGTGCATAGTTTATAGACAATGTAATATGCGTTTGCAAATTTGTATATAAGTATTATTAAGTCCAAAGGATCCGCTCCGACCGAATATGAGATTTTCTATTATTTGATTTAAATAAGAATGTTTAAGGAAAATTGTCAATATTTTTTTAATATACACAAATATTTATCAAATTCACAATAAGATTATTTCTTTCTTCAGTTTATGAGTTCGTTAACAATAATTATAAACAATGTACATACATATTTTAGAGAGTTATAGAAGCAAATATGTGTCAGTATGTTTTATACGTGTAAATATTTTACAATTGTAATTTTGATTGTTATCTAGATGTTTTATTATATTAAATTGTTTTATTCAGAAAGAACAACATATAATTTCATTGGTAAAAGCACTGTTCGTAAATTTGTACATACACGTCTATTATATTGTTAATGTATATGTTCGAAATAATATATTTAATATAGTTTACAAATGTTTTATTTGCAATATTTATGAATTATACATAATATATAATCTCTTTTGCATGTAAAATTTTTTATATCACAAATATTTCAGTAGAACTCTATCAGGTATTTTATTAAAATTAGTACCTGTTACGATTTACACCTAGCAGGCATGAAATATCAGAACCAACTATTGCAGACTGATTCGCATAATAAGGCTGAGAAGCGTTTCCGCTATTATATTTCATTTGAACCGCCGTTTCGTAATCGGGCGCCGGTCTATATGATGGCAGTAACGCGCGCAAACTATTTATATCAGTTGACGAAATGGATACAACAGGACATGGTGATGGTATTGAAAGATCGTTGTAACTTGTCCACCGTGTATGTGTGTCTGAGGTCCTGTTATCCGAATTCACAGATACTGCTTGCTCACTAGAATCGTTTGTATCATTATCCTGAAACAACACATTAGAGTCTAAATTACATGAAATTCTGTACACATGTTTCAATCTAATTAAACAAATGTTAATTTACGTACACAGCAGCCACTAGATCTTTCTTGTGGACGGCGTTCTTGATACTGTATATAGAATAAATGTTCGGCTATACATAATCTCCAAACGTATTTCGCATCGCGTGACTCGGTAAATACAAACTGTTTTGCTTCTTCACATTTGCATTCTATTCTAAATGTCTTCTTTTGATTTATAACATTACTGATATCTTTCCATCTGTAACTCATAAATTTATTTATTTCATATGCTGCAATAATTTAGTATATATATAGACTGTTCCTTTGAGTTGAATTTTTTGCACTGTTTATCTCTTCTCCTTTTTCCCCAATATGGAAAGAAAAAGAAAAAAATGAACTATGCAAGAAATTCAGCTGGAAAGAACAGACTCAAAGTCACATATGTAAAATAAAAAGTAAATTAACCTATAAAATTGCGTTGTTTGAGTATTAGGATAAGCCACCATAATTCCATTGATGGAAATTCCAAGTATAACTTTGTTGTTACTATTATCCTGAAACATTCCATGACTGCAGCATTTGAAAAGTAACCAGAATTAATTAATTTATCATGCTAAATACCTTGGCAGTAAAAGTTTCAGTGCCATATCCTTCCAGTTGCATGGCAATCGAAATATATAATTCTTCTGCAGTAGCTTGTGTCATATTAGCAAAACCTTTATATTGACATATTGCTGTGTATAATAGAGATTCTTGTCCACTCGGATCTGTTTTGTTTACGTCCTAAACAGAAATGTAAAAAGAACCCAGATTTAGATTTATAACATTTGCAATTAGAATAATCTAGTTATGAAAATTGGCATTACATTTGGGAAGAAAGTGCATTGTTGGAGATACTCGATTGTATGCCTTTCTGGACTATAATTTCCAAACTCAGCTTGCATAGAATAGCTTGCCAACACACAAGCCTGTCTGTAATTACAATGTATTTTGTTTTCCAGCACATCATTCTTCAGTTGAAGATAATAATGATATCTGTAGAAGAAGAAACGTGTAAAATTATACTTTCTAAGAAACATACCAAAAGTCTAACATTTTTAATTTCTTGTATGATTTATTTTTTTCTCTCCAATTTAAAGAAAAAAAAAAGAGGACATATAAATTATACAAGTTGAGTTAAAATGGACAGATTTATGTATTATTTAAATAAACAATTATGTTAACCTTGTCATCTCATCTTGAATGAGTTGTGCGTCCACTATATAATACATAACTCTTAAATAAAGCGTAAAATTTTTAGCATCTTTCTCAAGCTGCCTCTTTAAAGGTTTGTCCATATCTATCCATCGAAGCGATGATGTACTACGGCAAACATAGCGCAGACTAAAAAATTCTGGTTGTCCCAATCCCAAACGTTGCATTACATTGTCCAAACACTCCTGGCCAACGCTGTCAATGCTGAGAGTGCATTCTATAGAAGTGGCATCTAATAATTCAACACAGATTACGTACTGATTCTTGGATACAACATTGTACTGTCTGCTCTTTTTCAAGTGAAACTTGAATGGCATCTTGACAGTCGTAAAATAGCTAAAAGAAAAAAAAGAGACATGTAGTACATTGATTACAAATCTAAAGAAAATTTGAAGTATCACAAAAGTTTTTGTAACAGAATTAATATACATTTTTGGAATTTAAAGTAGATATATATTTGGTATCTAGCAAAAGAAAGAAAAACAATTCTAGTGCAAACTAATGCAGGAATAAAAAACAAACCTGATAAATACAGATATTACAATTACAAACTGATACACACACACATGTACGTTATATAAATATTATATCCATTCAATAATATAAATGTAATGTAGTACAAATTGTAATAACAGATTCATTGTAGAATAGGAAATAACATTGATGTTAAATACTGTTAGATTGTGTTCAACAGAATACAGAATAACGATAGGTTATAGGTTTGAAAAAAATTCCAACTTACATTTATATCAAATATCACTCACGTTATAAAGTGATCTCGACGAAGTGATCTTAAACATTACGATCTCGATTTACGAGAAACGTCGCAATACAAATTGGCGATATAACAACAAGAGACATCGATATATATTTTAAGCGGTGTGCACACGCGACTCCCTTGATGTCTTAAAATAACGTATACACTCATCAGTCACTTTCATGTGTAAAAACTGTAAACAGTGTGCACATTATTCGCTCAGCGGGTACATTACCCCCATTACCCATCCGAGATAGATGTGTAATTTGGCAATTCGAGGCTCCGCTGGACTCCGTTAACGATAGCCATATCAATCAGTTGATATCAGACAGCAAGCATTGAATTCTTTTTAAAGTATCGCTGAGTATCGCTCGGTCCAGCGATCCACTTTCCAAGTTTTCACAATTTCTACCCGTGCCTATTGTAGTGATGCGACGAGTCGAGTCCTGGACTCGTCAAACTCGATTCTTAAAGATACTCGAGCAACTCGAGAACCGATCTGTGATCAACTCGAGCTTCGAGTATTGTGCGAGTACTTACTGAGACTCACATTATCGATCAACTCGAGTCGAATCGATTGATTGATTGACGCGTGAATGTGCATTTACTGCCGAATTTACGAACCACGAATGAATGCGAATCAAATCAGTCAAGTGATTCGCCGATACTCTCGTTGGTGAACTAATCATGGGCCTTCACAATCGAATGTGAGAAGAATAATTGACTGTGAATGGTCAATTTCTTATATAAGAAATTGACCATTAAGTCATATGACTTAATACTTAAAACTTAGGTAATGGCTTATTGTAGAAGGCCTATCATAGCCATGATATAAATACAAGGGTATGCTCATTTGGTGGTAATTTTGTTTTAAGAAGCTAAAGAATATTAATAAAATGTATATCTTATGTTTTTTGTATTAACATAAATCTAATGAATGTTTTTGATAAATCGATAAGTATATTTGTTTCTGTTTATTTTACTTAAAAACTAACCTAATTGTAAATATTATATAGTCCTATAACCTATGTGCTGATTTAATGATTTGTATTATTTGTAGTACTTTATGCGTTCTATTCGTATTTCATGACAGAGAAACAAAGAATCATGAAACGAATAAAATCGAAGGTCGTTATTTTTCAAGTCCTGTTTGATTGGATATTTAATGGTCTGGTATTCGAATACTAAGATTTAATTTAGTTGAGTTTAAATTGTATCTAATCTAATATTTAAATTATTCAACTCGAGTCCAAACTTGAGCTCGAGAACTCAAAACCGTACTCGAGTCCGCGGACTCGAGTTCAGATTCGATTCTTTACTAAAATGAATACGAGTTACTCGATTCTCGAAATAAACGAGTTGTCGCATCACTAGCCTATTGTGCGTTCACTTCTTTAGCTTATCTCTATTTTCTCGGCGCGAGAATATCGATATTTCGCTTGCGATTATCGATGGTGATCGATAATGGCCATCACTACAGAGGGAACAAAGTTTATTTAGAGGCGACGGAAGTTAATGTACTTCCAATTTTGGTGCCACAGAGCCAGGCGGCAGCACCGTGTTAATTCGTGTGGCGATCTAATACGCACTATCATCGTAAAATTACGTTTTAAATATATGCCAACTTCTCTAGCCTCAAGAAACGCACAGCATTTAAAACCTGAAAATTACTGAAAATATTTGGTTTTTGCGCGTCGCGTTTTATATACTTCAATGGAAAGCTAGCGGTGATCCAATCAGCGCTTGAATACGCGCTTGTAGCAGAGCATCGCGCAACATCGCGCTCATTGGTTGGCTGCGAGTGGTGGGGGTTCGAGTCTGATCGGCGCATATAAATATCGCGGTTTCCCGCAGTTTCACGTTTGTGCAAGTCTGTGCAAGTCGGCCAGGGGACGGGTGCAGTGTATCACGTTGGAATAGTTCGCTCTCTTGTTTCGCACTGTATCCTTCCTCTGTCTGGAACGAATTACCACTATCTCCGCAAATATTCTGGATGAAGTCTCTTCGGAAGCATCCTGATCCTCCACTATCTTCGGAAGAATTCTGATCTCCGCTATCTCCAGACGCGTCCTGATTTCTAAAAGTCCTGATCATCTTTGCAGAGAATAAAACAACGAGAACGACGCGGAATTATTTACCAACGAGGTA